GTTCTCTCTTCCTCTTGTATTCTTCATTCTCCCACTTTGGGAATTCTAAAGAATTTCATTTGTTGTAATATTGGCGATATAGTGAAGTTATCATCCGGTGTGGCGCCCGAGGAGTAGACGATATTCTCGTCGAACATCGTAAATTTGGTGTGTTCTCTCCTTTATTGTTTTTATTCGGTTCTTTTCAATTGTGTTTTAATATTCAATAGTTTGACAGGTTTATCCGTTGTACAACATTTGGTGGTTTTGATCTTGACATTTTAAGTCAATTTTAAAACTACGCTCGTGTAGGAAATAATCCATTTTCCCAACATCCACAATATCCAAATACCCCCAGAAAAGCCTCTCGCCTCAACCCGATAGGAAAACTCAAATCCAGAGTTACGGGTAAAATTATCTGCTGAATTGCCACTAACACGAGGTTCTAGAAAAGCCACAATATCAGGATTCTGCATCTTCATCAACAACTTAAAGTAACGATTAAAAGTAGGGTCTAGGGCATCCTGGAAGTTCCAAAAAAGTATCCTAACCATAATTACAAAGAAAAGAAGAAGGGCGAGGCAGACATTAGACCTATATTTCAACGTTCTCCGTCTGGACGAAGACCATATTCGCTCTCTATTGGATCACGTCATTTGATTCCTGCTGGGGAGACCTTGAGAATTGAGAATTTTCAGCCGTGTTCGAGCGATTCAATTCCGCTGACATAGCCAAGACCCATTCAGTCAACACGGGTTTGGTCGACACTCGCTCAGCTTTTTTCTTGGCTTTCAAACCTTTCCTCAACAACCCATTAATCGCCACTAGTCCCTTTTGTGTCTCTGCATGAGTCATTTTCCTAGTCGTGGGCTGGAGGACTCGGGTGTTATGATCACTGGGAATAAGGTTCTCATCATTTTCCACCACTTGGTCAGCCACGTGTTTATCACGGTTTAAAGAAGACGCCACGCTTGTGAGTTGTGACCTTTCCTATTGAAGCCACTGACATATGGTTCTCAACATTACCATTCACTTGGGCAACCGCATGTCTATCACGGTTTAGAGTAGAAGCCACGTGGGGGCGTTTCCTTTTGATGCTATTCACCCTGAATTATCTACCATCCGCCTTATGACCATCCCGGTGTTTCTTTTTGGGTTGGTTGGGTTTATGGTTCTTTGCTTATATTCCTCATGCTTACTTGATTCCGCATGAAAACTATTATTCTTTCAGTTGGCAGCAGCAGTTTGGACTTCAATGTTGTCCCCCGTATCCAAAGCGAGATCCTTCCGTACCGGATTGCCCTCGGTATCATCCCCTTCCCGAACTAGTTCAAGAGCTCCAAAGCGTGAGTTCCTCCTCTGTCCATCGGGTTGTACTGCTGTCTCTGTCTTACCTCTCTTGTTTGCATTTACCCTTTTTTTCCGGTTCACCACTTGCATCCAAGGGCCATACAGGTCATCTGGTTTGGAGTCAACTTACTCCGATCTTGTTTCCTCATTATTAGTCTGAGTATTAAAGTCTTTCCCACATCTTGTTTCCTGCATTATGACCAAACTTCCCACAAGTGTAGCAAATTATAGGTAGACCCTCATACTCAATACGTTGACGATAGCCATCGATAACAATTCCCGAGATCAAAGGTTTATCCAGATCAATGACAATAGCAATTCTTGCAAACCTTCCACGTTTCCCGTCCTTTGTATTGTAATCAATACGAACCACCTTGCCAATGGCACCTGCTATATAACGAAATAGACTTTTTCTGTAATATCGGTATGGCAAGCCATTATCTTCGTCGGATAATCCTTTGTAGTGGAAAAAGTTCTAGTCCGCGGTTGGACAGTTAAATAGCTCTCATAAATCACCCATGCCCCCCCCCCCGCCAATACATGATAGAAGTCCTCATCGAGAGAGAACCGAACCAGGAAATATTCATTTTCAAGATCGATAAGATTAATCTCACCTGCAGTATTCCATAAAGCTTGGATTCTATTCAAAAGGGCTTTATAGCCGATTTTCTTTCCCAAAAGGCGAACTATTACTGAAGTGGTGAGCTTAGGCATCGATGGCATCATGGATTCTCTCCGAAAAACATATCTATAGGACCATCGTTTTCTAGAAATACATCTTCAGGTTGTGCTTCCACATCCAATTCATTGATGAAAAAACCCTGGTTGTTCTGCTTAGTTACTCCCTTTACCATGCACCAAAACGTGGGTTTAGTAGTAGGGTTTCCATCCAGACTAGTATTAGCACCAGGCACTATGGGGTCAGCGCAGAATGTGTTCGCTTCATTGAACTTCCCAATTACATCAGATCTAGCATCCATCACTTCCTCCATTAGAGTGTCAACACACTCCTCCACTGGTGCTAGGGGAGCCCGAATCTCCCCCTCCAATATAAAGCTACTTATTCCCTTTTTCACCGGTCTTTGATCTGCAACGGCAATAGGGGCCCAAGGTCGTTCTAGAGACGACGAGTTGTCCAATATGACCACACCATCCGACGATCGGCCACCATAAGAAGCGGATGGTGGAACCTCCACCGGATGAGCGGGATTGACGGCAGGGGTTACGGTAGGGTTTCCACTAATTACGGTCGTTACGTCTTCATAGAGTCTTATTTTGTCAGTAAAGCTTTAAGAGTTTAAGGCACACATTTCATATTGAAAAGTGAAATACCTTTAGAAGGGTTTATGATTTTGCACTCATTACGGTAGGGTCTCCACTCATTACGGTCGTTACGACATATTTTGCAATTTTTTTTGTTATTTTATTGTCATTATTGTCCTGTTAATACTAACACATTGATTTTGCATTAATATTTCCAACAAATTCTTCAAATCATCTATACATTGTTTCCCCCCCTTTTATAGTTATTGTATGCAAGTGAAAGTAGAATATATGGCAAAAGCTTATATGGATTGAGCATAGAAGTTCGAAGCTTGGTGGTGATTGTGTTCTCTTTTTTTTTTTTTGCTTAATGAAAAATTTAATTTAATCCGCAATTGGATAGTGATCTGATTTTTTAACATACGCGTCAGCTCATCCATTAAATGTTAACGGTCGATAAATTGATTGCAATAATTAAATAATTAAGTGATAGCATGAACCAAGTGACCTCCGTGATAAATGAATTGTTGTTGTTCTTTGTCCCTTGAGGACTTGGATTCAAGCACCATGAATGTCAAGGGTGCGAGCATTCAATGTCAAGAGGTTGAAGTTATCTTTGAGCATACATTATCTTGTACTTACTCCAAATTTATCAAAAAAATATATAGTTAAGTAATCTGATTATTAAAATTAAAATATCGATTATAAAAAATAATAATTAAGTGGATATAAGTATAGTCCACCCTAACTTAAAACACGAATTAATATATAGAATCCAACCCGACAATCTTGTTAATCCCTATAGACATACTAAAATGAACAAATATGTACACAAATTGACTCATTATCTAGTATGTATTTGTGTTTGTCGATATACTCTATAGTTAAAAAATTATTTTGTAGTTTTTAATAATTAAATACTTCTATAAAATAATTTATAATTAAAAAACTATTTTGTAACTTTTAATAGTCAAAGATTTTGATAAAGCAATATCCTATAGTTATTAGACCATTTACATAGCTTATGCTACTTTTATCTGCCATGCGCAAATGTATAACCCTAATTTAAAAAGTCTATTTAAAACTGAATTGTGTCCTTTATCTAGAAAGGTTTGACTTCGAATTCTATGCAAACACTCTTATCTTGTTATTTGTATTAACAACAACGACAACAATAACAACAATAAAATCTTATTCCCATATGCAATGGAATAAGGGGGAGGTAGGATAGTAGGCTGCCCCCAACGCCAGGTTGAGAGCAACTTTCGTGGAAGACCTCCGACAGTCAAAAAATTAAAAATAAAGATAAAATGCAATGCATGTATATATAAATAAATAATTACACAGTTGAACAGACTTCATATGCAGTCTACATATGCGCGTCTGTAATGGGAAGTAATCCCTGCAAGTAACTCCCTTCGTAAAAAGCTCTGCATATAAACAGAAACGTAAGACCCAACTAAAATTAAAAAAAGGAAACATGAAGAGAAATATACACATAAGTCAACGATAGCAATCAACGTGAAGGAATATAGTCAAATGGGTTAAAACCTAACCAAAATCATATTTTTTAAAACTATATATATGTACTTGTGACCTCAAAGTGGAATTCCTTTTAGATGGCTATGGTTTAACGTTACTTTTTTTTAAATATTGGTCTAATCTTACATGCATCACAAATGGGGTTATTTGTACCAATCAAATCGATTTTTCAATTACATTTTGAATTAATTATAATATCGGATCTAATGACCAACTAATTCAGATCGAATTTTGTATAAATCAAATATGGAATAACCCTCTTAACTCAATTTATTCTACACGCAAATATCAAGATTCGAAATGTAATACCTAAACCCACTACACCAAATGATTGTAGGTAATTTTTTAATTATATTTAAAACACCTCAAAGTGGAATTCTTTTTGGATATGACTGTGGTCCAATCTTACATGCATCACATATCATGCTTTTTCTTTATTTGATTTGAATTTTATTTTATATTCAAAATTTAATTAATATAAAGATAATTGAGATCCTAATAGAAAGTAAAAACGTTGACCTGGAATACTCGGTTTATATAAGAAGGAATGAACTTGCTTTAAAAAGAACGATTGCCCCTGCTCACTCCTCTTCTCTCCATCCACAATGTAGGGAGCTCGTTAAAACATAAAGCTACAAAGGAAACCCCACATAATATCTACCCATCATCACAACTTTTTTTCACCGACGATGCCCCCACAGGTCCAGCTGAATTGGGCACCACTCTTACGATTTAGACATGCCACTAAATTATCAGCTGCATCATCCTAAAATTTTAAAAATTCGTTCATAAAATTATTGGCGATAAAATTATATATCAGACTCTACCAAGTAAGTTGAGGGTGACAATTCAGCAAATGATCTCAAACACAAAATAACCCAACATTTTTATAGCAATATAGCACGCAAGCATCAGAAACACAGGTTGTGTTACAGAGTTCATAGTAACTAGGTTTGCAAATTCCCATGTAAACAAGTCCCTCAACTATATAGTTCTACCACCTAATACCAAGGAAACGTTTTCCAACTTATTTGATCCAACCAAACCACACCTTTGTTTATCTATATCCAGTTATCCACCATATAACAGTAGCCTCATAATAAGTGAGTTTAGTGATGGTGTGGCTTCTCCAGGTCCTCAATACTCGTAGGGCGAAACCAAGCCTTTTCCTCCAGTACAGAGTTCTCGCCACCGGAATTGGTGCCTTGCTCCCCACCACCACCAGATGCATTAAGCTGCTCAGCAGCAGGGCCAAACACCCCGGTCTTAGGGTTCGGAGCCCAGTATTTGTCCGATTGAGGCTGGATCACTTCATCAGGAACCACACTTGCATGGACCTGATCATCCAGGTTCTTGTCATATGCCGATGAGTGAGCACTCCTGCATATACAATAAAAGCATTATCTTTTACAAATTCGTATTTATTCACCATAATATCTATTTGTCATTGACAACACCTACCATAATATCTATTAGTCAGTGACAACACACGTCCTATAGATGTAACTGCTCGAACCCTAACCAAAGAGATTAAAATTCCTTTTAACCGGAAAAAATTAGAAATCTTCATGTGCCTAATAGCCTATAAGCATCAATTTATTACTCCTTTAATTTAATCAAAAGGTTTTAAAAAGAGTAGTTAGGTTACATGGCAAGGGAATTAAGCGAAGAAAAGAGAGCATGGGGCACGTGTGGCAGAGCATCAAAAGTATGGGTTAAGATATTCCGCAAAACAACGGACTGTTAAAACACGTGACAATAAAAAAAATTAATTTCATTTAATCGCATCTGTTCTGTAATAATAAAATTAAGAAATCAATTGAAATGAAAAAATATTTTACCAATAAATCAATTTCAAGTTTTTTTTATTAAAAAAATTATATAAATGGATGTTAATTTCAATAATTACACCGTAAATCATTATATTAAATATATTAAATTTCATAAATCAAAATTATATTAGATCTAAAATATATAAATCCCTGTCTACTCAAACCTGACACACCAAGTAAAAATATAAATAAAATATACAACGATCGGTTACATGGCCATTTCCTAGCAAAGGTTATATTTCCAAATCAAAAGATGGGGACCACTTTCTAATTTTATAAAATAAAAAATCCATCTAACGTAATTTGCACGCCAACACTCAAAAGTGTCAATATTTATGAAATTACACCCTCAATTTTACACATTTATTACTATAATTAATCGAAAACAACCCACAACTATAATGGGAAGGTAATAACTTAGTTGTAAGCTTCGTTTTAAATAGAAACGGAAGTATGATGTAGAAATATGTAAGAAAAATATTTTTTTTTAAAATTTAAGGTAGGACGAGTTTATAAAATTTTAAAGAACATAAATAAATTCTTAATAAAATATAAAAAGTATCTAAAGATTTAAAATTTTAGAATGAACAATCATCTCAAGCTATATAGAGAGTGGGTGACTCTTATTCCTCCCAAAATTTTTTGTTTAATATTATTTTAGATGCTTATTAATTTAAATCTAAACAAAATTAGACTTTTGCTTTTTAAATTTTTAGATTAAATACATAATAAATCATTTTTAAAATTTGATCTGATCTGGCTCCGTCCTTATCCAGTCTATCAGTCCATCCCTAGTTCTAAGTTTCCAGTAAAAACCATAATTATTAATTGGTTTAGTTTTAAGTAACTTAAATTAAAAATCATATATTAATGTGACCAAATATATTTGATCGATTAATCAAATTATTATCGTTATTTCTTCATATTTCTTTAGATCGTGAATTGTAAACTCATTAAGAACATTTTCTTTATTCTTCTAACATTTTTCTTCCTTTTCCCCTAAATAAAATTAAATAAGATTAAGATTAGATTTAATATATATATATATATATATATATAAATAATGTTGATGGTGTTGTCAATTGAAGAAGAATTTGGGTTAGCGTTGAAAATGATAATAGGGAGACACGTGTCCAATAGGAGAGGACAGAGAAGGTGCGTCCTTATCCGCTTCGCCCTTCCCCACCACCAACTTCCACCGAGTACGGCATTTCCCCTCTCCCAGATTTCTCGATATCTTTCCTTTTAAAAGCATGTGTTCAATTTAAAAAAGTCCAGTCGAAAATTAAAAGAGGGGAAAAAATCAAAATCAAAATCAAAATCAAGAAATTCCTCCTATTAAAACTCATGTTTATATTACTAAAATGATGAACATAATTTGATCATGATATGATCAAACTCCTAAATGAGAGACTCATTCTTCAATGGAATCTTCTTAACTTGTATAGCATAGAAATTAATACTAATGCTACAAGATTCAGCATGCAAAATCACATCAACAAAAAATCGAAGAAAAGACTGCCGAGTAAATTAAGAGGAAGCAAGAAAGAACCTGATAGCTGCAGCGGCAGCAGGCGGAGGAGCAGGCGCGGCGGTGCGAGTGGATGTGCGGTTAAGTAGGCGCTTCCCCAAGCTGGCGATCCCTCCACCACTCTTGAAATTGGCTGCCATACAAGTGAGGGAATAAAAGAGAGAAAAATCTGTGAGATGAAGAAACAAAAAGGAGACGGTTGAAGGGAATATGTTTTGCGTTTGCACAAAGGAGTGTGCTTATTTATAAAGAGATGTAGATGCCCATTTCACCGGCCCACCACCGCACCTAACCGCTAACCCCACCCACACACAACTCTCCGTTTCCTTTCACTCAACCGTTATCACGGAACTTTAGTCTTACCGTAGGGGTTTTAATTAATAGGGTTATGTACGCAAATGGTTCCGACCATAAAGTACTATTTTATTAAATCACTCAAATATTAAAAGTTATAAAATGATCTTTAAATTATAGAATATTATTTTTTTGAGTCTATCAACTATTAAAAGCTACAAAATAATTATTCAACTATTCATTATGTTCTAAATCTGTCATTTTCTATTAAAAATTGACAGTATTATCAACTGAACATTAACCTACTGATGGTGATATGATAATATATGATCTATGAATCTCAAATGATTGTCATATCTCAATCATCATATTAACTTCCAGATTAGACAATCATCAATTTTTTAACGAAAAATGAAAAGTTTAGAACATAATGAATAGTTGGATGACCATTTTATAACTTTTAATAGTGAAGAGACTCAACAAAACATATTCTATAATTGAATAATTATTTTATAACTTTTAATAGTTAAGAGACTTAATAAAATATTATTATATAGTCAGATATTATTTGTGTACTTTACTCTAATTAATATTAGGATAAACTACTTAAATCATCACTCAACTTGGAAGTCATTACGTTTTGGTCATTTAGAAAAATAGTTTTTTTTAATTTAATCACTTGTTTTTAGAGACCTTTTAGTCACCCAACTTTAAAGCGTTAATTTTTTGGTTATCTAAATAATTATTTGAATATCATTGTTATCTTCATTCTATGTGCCAATCTCATTTGAAAAATGTGTACCGTTTCGATAATTAACTGGCTTTGAGTGCCAATTTAATGAATAATTCTTTAAATGATACTATTAAAGTAAAAAGCCATAATAATCTCCTTGCATTAATATGATTAATATGATTAGTTAGGGATTTGAGTAAAAAAATCAAAAAGATGTTAAGTCTAATTATACATGTTGGTTATATTTTGCACTCATCATAATAGTTAAACGAAAATATTATTTATAAAAAAATTCTGATTCAAACAATTATAATTTATAAGATATATACGTTATTAATAATTAAAATATTCTAAATAAATATTTCTTAATGAATTATTAAAAAAAAATAAGTGTGGAAACCTAGAAAACATTTGACGGAATATTTAATGCTTTTTCATAAATGTCACACAGTGAGTTGATTTTTTATATGCGGATTTAGGGTGGAATATTCTGTGTAAACCGCTTTTTTGGGCTGTTAGGTGGTTTGCTTGACGTCGTTAGTAGTCCGTTAAAAGAAACGCCGTTTACAATAATTTTGTAGTACTTGAGCAGGTACGGTACGGTCATTACATTACCTCTTTTTTCGATAGTCGATAGAAGGCCAGGTGGAATTATTCCTGAAAATGTCGTAAAACCAAGGAACTATTTCGGGGAGATTTTTGTAAAAAGATTATGGTTTCCATTATCTTTATCAAATTTTGTAATACCAAAATACCACCTAAGTTTATTAAAATAATTATTTTGGTTCATATTATTTTTTAGAGTATTTTTGTCCTAATGTTTCATTTTAAAGTAAAAATCTTTTAAAAGATGAAATCTATTAGTTAACACACGATTAACGTTTCAAAATAGGATTATTTTTATCTTAAAATAAAATGTTGGGGTCCAAAATGTTAAAAAAAAGAACCTTATGAGGACTGATTCCATAAGACTTGTGTCTGTTTGAAACTCAAGAAAATAAAAAAAAAACACTCGAGTTACTTGTTAGTGATGACCGTCTATTGTGTGATGGGTCATCCAGATATCTTAAAAGTCACGATGAGACAGTAAAAAGTTTACTAGTTGAACGTTGCTCTAATGCTCTTGTGACCTAGACTCATCCATTACTCTAGAGGAGTAGGCTAAATGAGTGTACATTTATGATACATATATGACCAAGGTTTAACCCAAGGTACTGATCATATGTGGCACTAGATGTATGTTCTTGATGTGCTTGTGATTCAGGTCTCGTCCAAAGTACCTAGTTCGTAAGTTAGAGGGGTGTGAGTCTTGTGACGCACGTATGACCTCATACTACACCATGATTCCTACTTGTGTATTGTTGATGAGCATTTGTAATTTGTGGCCCAAGCCTCACCTGGATAAGTGTTCGGTGACTTGAGCCTCATTCTTAGTATGGTATTGTGTCTGGATAAGTGTTTGAACTTCGTGATTAGAACTGCATCCTTGTTATTATGTGATGATTGATACTATGATATTGATATGTATTGAATAGATGACATTGATGGACTTGTTAGTATTGCTCCTCTGACTTGTTGGTATACCTATGTTATTAATGCATATGGTATAGTGGAGATTTTGTGTGACGTTGAATTTGTTAGTTCAACATTCGAAATATGTTTTCATTCGCAGGTTACATGCATGTTATGTGGACTGCAGAGAATAATGATATCATTGGAGGAGTCTCAATAGAGTACTAAAGTATAGTGATGACGACTTGGTGAACCTGTAAAGGTTATGATTTGAAAATGGTTCAACTTGTGATATTTTAATTGTTTGCTTTATTTTAAATGGGGGCATGTATTTGTAAATTTTTATGGTTTCATACTTTATGTTAAAAGTGAGCATAGTTTTAAAAGAAAAAAATGATTAATCACTTTAGAGATTTTATGTAACACTCGAATCCATGAGATTTGGGTGTTACACACTAAACTTTACCACGAGTAATCTAGATCGGTCCCAAATAAATTTTGTTGTGCGAGTAGTGGCCTTGAGATTGACATGCATGTATTTGTAGTGGCCTTGATATTGACCATCTAATTCAGAATTATTTTTAATCTTTATTTTCCTTTTCACCAGTCGATGTTGATGCTCGAAATTTAGAGGGTGTCACGCCTAGTATTATCGAGCATATGAATTCAGTTTTGAAAAACTCTTTTATGTGAGACAATGTATTTTCTGCAGTCAAATTAATGGGTCCTTAACTTAAATTCTTAATATTAAATATATCTTAACTTAAAAATCAAATCATAACTTTAAAAAAATATATTTTATTTTTTTCTTAACTTATTGAATATATTTTATTTTTTTTCTTAACTTATTGAATATATTTTATTCTTGCCTAAACTAATTTTAATCTTATCTTAACTTATAAATTATTAACTTAAATTATTAAATATATTATATTCTTACCTTAAATGATTAAATATTATTTAATATTAACGGCACGTCAGCACTTCCGTTAAAGGTGAAAAGGTGATATTTTGAAAACCACATTAATTCTTAATTGTCTCTTTTTAATTTAAAAACAGATGTGATTTAAAAGACCTCTCGTTTTGAAAAATTTTGAATTTTCTTTACGATCAAAAAATATAGTTCGAAGAGTCGCCATCAATATTTGATTACGGTGTGATTGGGCACCCAAAAATGCTTGCTATTTTAAATAAAAATTAATTTTAATTAAAACAACAAATTAAGGTCTGTGTTACCAAAATCCGAGTTCGAGAGTCGGTTACGTGTGGGGAATGATTAGCACCCCCACAACGCCCTAAATCGGTACCTAGTTGATTAATTAACGTCCTTGCATTGAACTTTACAAATTCGAACTTAATTTGATTTTTGATCCCATAAAACAAAGACATAAATTTAAAAACATTCAAAAGCACTCAAAATAATTAAATTAAAATTACCAAATCGTTTTAGAAAGATAAAGAATGTTCGATTATTTACAAATATCGAGACCAGATCTTAAAAGTTATAACAACCTTTTCTCGATAAATTTAAATAAACGAACATTTCCTTTTCTTTCATTCCCAAATTTTAGAGTGATGGATCAATTTTTTTTGTTTCACTTTCGGGATATACTTTTATTTTAAAATCATTAAAAGCGGACCTTAAATCAGTTATGACTGCCCACTTAAAACAAATTTAAATTAAAAGTGTATTACCCTTAATTCAATTATGAATATGTCGAGTTATGCAAATAAGGCTATCATGCAAATTGTGAAAAAAAATATCATGCTAAAATTAATTTAACAAAAATAAAAACATCATACAACGTGACATACAAAAAATTATATACATATGTTTTAATTAAAAATCATAAATTATGCATATTAATGTATTATATACACATCTGACCTAAATATCATAACATGCTAAACTATAAATTAAAAAAAATGTACATATACACATTAAAAATGACTAAATTAAATAAATGTAAAATTCAGTTTGCAAATCAAAAATAAACCAAGGACCTAAATATAAGCATACGCACAAACAAGGGACCTACACATGAAAAACCTAACAAAATTATAACTAAAATTAAAATTTGAAAAACAGCAAAATTAAGACAAACACAAAAGGTTAAATTCTAAAATAGTCCTAAAGACGACTAAGGTGTAAAAACGTATACACTTGGAGGACTAAAAACCTAAATTAACCTAAAAACCTAACATATAACCTAACTAAAACAACCCTAAACTAATTGACCAACATACACGGCTAGCTCTCTTCCTCTCCCTTCTTATCAACCACGCACGGCGCTGCTCCCTCCTTTGAACACCGCCGCCGTCGTTCGGCCACCATATCTCGGTGGCCTCTTCTAATCACAACCGTCATCCCTTTCTTTCTCTCACACCTCTCACACATGGCCAAAGTTTTACAGCCCCTCTGCAATTCTTAATCGAGAGTTTCGAAACTCTCTATGTCATACATCGACTCCAACCGGAATCTAACCAAAATAGTAATCGGGCTCACCGCTGAAACCCCTCTACTCTCCAGGCTAACCTAAACTCAAACAAATACCCATATCCTCCTTCATCTCCCTCTCGATCGCTCACCTCTTCAACCCCGACACCCGACGCTCGGCCAAGGTAAATTTTCACTTTCGCCAGGAATTAAAGTAAGTAATCGGAGGTGTAGTCATTGGGTAAAATGATG